CCAATGTTTGTTTGAGAGAAGGTCAAAGGGCACGAGTCACATGACCTCAACGCACTAGTACTACGAGCGGTCATGCTTGCAGCAACATCATTCGTTCCTAAACGCACTTTGTAACAACATTTGGTAGATTTCCGGCGTGTCTCAAAGGAACCCTCCAAAATTGGCGAAAAGCTTAGCTATTTTTCGATCAGTCTCGTTTTCGGCGAATGTTTCACCTGGCCGATTTGGGGAAAGCCTACTCCTGAATCGGTGTGAGGCGAATAGATCAGACCCGCAACCAAAGTGGTCAAACACCACAGATCCCATTTGTTACATCCACTGGGATCTTGGACCAGGCTAAGAGTTCCGAGTCACCTGTGTGTCCCAGCAAGGTTGGAGAATGCACCTGTTAGAATCAAGGAATGATCAGTAGGTCAAACCCAAGATCTGCCTAAACTGAAATCAATACCCAGCGTATAGGCCGCAGAGCGTATTTCTGGCTGACAGTCGGAGAAAATGGACATGTAGTTCAAGTCTGTCCCTGCGGGAATTTGCGGAAAAAACTCTCGAAAACTTGCGCAAGAAATTGCGGCAGAAAACAACAAAAAATGCGACGAAAAGTGCGGAATGATGCAGAACTTACCAGGAATTCGCGGAATTATTTACAGAAAATTGCGGATTTGGGCCAAATCACGAAATATGTTGCATCGTATATCTAGTTGGGAGTAGTCGAGTCGTACTGTGCAAATAACTTACAGGATCATGGAAAGCACTGCGTGAAAGGTGCATAGAAAAGTGAGATATAGTGCAGAAAACAACAAAAAACGTGGGAGATCGCTGATTTTCGGGAAAAAAATGGCGGGTTTGGGCGAAAATCGCGAAATTTGTTGCATCCGTGGAATCGCGATTTCCTGGAGGGACAGTCAAGTAGACAGGTGACTTCAATCTAGGCTACACCATACTGTATGAACACCTTGCCACCGGACGTGAGAAAGTGCAAACAAATGAAAAACAACACCTTCATAGCGCTGTCATTGTGTCCTCCTTACCCTACCTTGATTGCCATAGTTATTAATTCATTTGCTTTTGACTTCACTGGTTTGAGGGAAAGACACAATCGGGAAAGGTCTGGAGAAAATTGACTGTCGCCACCAGGACTCGAACCAGGGACCCTCGCTTGTAGCCAGCGATGCTCTAACCACTGAGCGATGGTGTAGTCGTGATCCCAGCAGAGACCGTTCAACATTTTCTTCAGACTTCATTTGTTCTTTAGTACAACGGTGAAAAAAATTTCGCGCTGAAATCATTGGCGCTGTCAAGACACGGCGCTGAAATGGCACCGAGCTGAAATGCCTCGCGCTAAGGCGGTCGCGCTGAAGTGCACCGCGCTAACATGGACGCGCTGTCGCGGGAGGTCACCATACTACTCCCTGGCTAGAGCCCAGATATTCCGACAAAGGACACACAACTACATAGTGCAAACCATAATCTAACATCGAACGTTCCTTTCTCACCATTTTTAGTGACATTTGACGTAGTCAATCCATCATCGTCATGGGTCGAAGCTCCATGCTCTTCTTCTTCCTGCCCACTGTCAGCATCGAAAGGATCGGGCAGCTTCAGTTCCGGCTCGTCCTGGCAGTGACTGTCGTGCGGGAGCGTGGCGACGCACAGGACAACCATGGCTGTTAGCCTCAGGTACATGTATGTGTCCCGTTCCATCTCGCGGCACCCAGCATTGGCAGCAAAGGCAGCAAAGGCAGATCGACTCCGCTTTTAGTGTTCAGGAAGCGTAGACTCTACCTATCTTTCGACTGCTGTAGCCGACCCTGGTACTATGCTACATGTATTTCTTGGAAAGATTCGAAAAGGCTACATAAGGTACGCCTTTAGCGGCAGCTCCTCGAGTTTATCTCAGTGTTGATAGTAGACCAGCAAGAACAGATCTCGAGAAACTGTCAGACAATGTGCAGTTTTAAAAATTGAGTTCCGGCTTTCCGTTCCGCAGTGTGAATACAGTTGCTCGTGGCAGTCGTCGCCAAAGCGAAGTGCGTCAACTCAACATGATGATTGATGTGGCCTCTTTGCATTTCCTCGAGGTTTGTTCATGGTAAATCTACACGGCTAGCGACAGCGTATGAAGAGACCCTTTCTGGACTCGACGACTGAACCCAGCCGTATATTGCAACAGTCCTGACTGACCGACCTCATGCTGTATGCAAGATACACAGACTGTCTGTGCTACCGTTCTGACCGACGGACCTGATGCTGTATGCACGCTGTAGATCTACTGATCGTCTGTGACTACTACATGTATTAGTATTACTATTACTAGTAGTACTAGTAGTCTGTCCATGCACAAGTCCTGACCGAGCAACCCGATGCTAAGTGCCACTGTATGCAGTCAGTATGTACTACAGTGCTGGCAACTGAAATCCGACCCCTGAGCGGTGGGTTCACATTCTTTGCGATGTGAGCGAGCCGCTCAGGGGGGTCGGATTTCAGTTGCCACCACTGTACTTGTACGTAACATGCCCGCAATGAATTGCTACTGCTAGTGCTTCTCCTCACTCGTAAACTGTGCACATTCTGGCGATCTACTGCTATTCAGAATGCTATCCTTGCCTCACACTCACAAAACCCTGTGTCTGCTATCCTTGCCTCACACTCACAAAACCCTGTGTCTGCTATCCTTGCCTCACACTCACAAAACCCTGTGTCTGCTATCCTTGCCTCACACTCACAAAACCCTGTGTCTGCGCTACTTACATTCACTACTTGAGAAGGTGTTTCTTGACTAGCCCCCACTTGTTCCTGTCCCAAGTCGTCCACCCAAATCCAAGTGTACCATCAAAATCAGTCATTACTAGTCGCTTTGGCCCTTCAGAATTGAATTCAAAGTCTTTGAGTTTGGCTGAATGGCAAGCGGTGAATGGTACATGTGCATGGAGCCCTGTTGTAAAAGAATCACAAATCAGGCTCGTGAATTCGTCAGTGACACAAGTCACTCATAAAATACCGGTACAGTTTTAGCTCTGGACTTCGCGAACATCATCTTACCGCACGGTATGGATCCTCACATTTGCTGTCTGTTGACTTTCTGTACATGGACTGGACACTCGGAATCACGAAAAACAGGTGTAGTTCATCCTAGTCTCTTTCAATTTGTCATCAACCACTACGCAATAGCTGCACTCTCCAGCCAACCTCGACACTTTGCCACAGCACACCATCAGAAAAGCGACACATCCGTTGGTACGAGTTGGTCATTATACCTGTCAACATTGCATTTATTCAATCATTGTGGTATTTTACCGTACGAGAGGCTTCTTTATAATGTTGGTATTGAAGTCTATCTTAGCCCTTCCACAGTACTTAACTTCCATAAAGAGTTTTAAACTCGAAAGAGCTACAGTAAAACCTGTCAAGGCGACCACTCGGATAAGGCGACCACCTGTTCTAGAAGACCACTGAAACCAGGACCAAGGGGTGCTATTTCTAGTCAATTGACCCTGGATAAGGCGACCACCTAGTGACAGAGACCACATTTTGAAGGTCCCTTGAGCGGTCGTGTTAGCCAGGTTTCACTGTCTACGCACTATGGAGGAACTCCGTACCAACGGATATGTTGCTTTGCTGTTGCCATACTGTGGCAAAGTGTCGAAGTCGGCTGGAGAGCGCAGTTGTGGTATGATGGTTGATGTTAATCTGTACAGTCGAATGCTGGTGCTTGGCCTTTTTTTCCTCTCAGTTTGAGTGCACAATTATTATCAGATTTTTCAATGCCCTTCCGGCCTTGTATGACTTTAGAGAAAGGCAATGCGCCAAATACTTTCAAAATTTTCTTGACCTCCCTGGAGTTCAAAGTGATTGGTGTAATCTGGACTGTCAAATAAGGGGTCGTCCATAAAAATTAATATCGAACTTTTTTCACAAAACGAAATAATTTCGTTATGGGGTGGGAGGGTGTTGACCAATTTCGTTTCAGAAAACATTGATTCATATACATGACCGTTGTATATGCATGTATGTCAACATTTTTTTACATTCTGAGGGGGAGGGAGGGAGGGGTTGGGTCTAAACTAAAATAATTCGTTTGGTGAAACAAGTTCGATATTTACGGACGGACCCTTTAAGCGAGTGGTGACAAAAAAATTGCTGGCGTGAGTGAGATTTTTTTCATTGTGCGTATGCAGTGTGGCCGTAATAATGAAAAGCAGACAAAATAAATTATTATTCCCGGTTTATAATCTGAGGATTGTACCCTCAATGTGACCGGCCCCTTGTAGTACAATCCTGTAGTACTTGCCCTAGGCCCTAGAGCTGGTCGCAAAAAAAGAATGAAATAAAAATTAATATAAAATGGAAAACTTAAAAATACTGATTCACTGGCCAGAAAAAAATTCACTTCAATCAGCTGTGTGGTGGATACCAGGCTAAAATTTGTGGCGGTCAATTCATCAGTCTTGCAAGCTGTTGAATGGTGTAATCCCAGGACAAGTTGCTCTGTCTAACATAGCTGTTCGCTATCATTGCTTTCGCGATGGGCATGTCTGAGTCTGGTCGCTGGAGCTGGGCCTGCGGGCTGGCGACTCCGAGGTCTGCTGCCCTCTGCGCCTGTTTATTAAAAAAGAAGTGATCGCGACGCCATTCCGGTTTGTTATAATTTTGAAACATTTGAGTGTACTGTAGTACTGTACCAAATCAGCGGACAGCTTGCTGCTTTGTTCTGTGCGAACTCATTGCTGTACACGTAACAGAGTTCCAAATTCTATCTATTTTGCGCCCAATACACTGTTTATGACAAAACGTGAGTGACTTAGGATTACTATGCATGAGTTGCTGTATCAGTCTGGAATTTACGCCACAAGATTCCCAATCATGTTACTTCACTACAGACCATAAATTCATAGCGTAACTTGTAGTTCCTTGGTCCTTTTTCTTTTCTATCAGCACTGTACGTGGGTGATGTCTGAATACATGTTCCCATCCACAATAACATTATCATCTAGCAGCCAGTGTTACATGTACTACACCTCTCAGAATGCATGTTCATGGTGCAAAGGAGCAAGCGGAGTTCTGCATTGAGTGGAGCAGCCATTAGTACAAGGACAGATAGAGTGATTTGATGGCACAGCAATGCTATGTGCTTGTAACGGACGAGCTACATGATTATTCGTGATTGAACCTATCCAATTCTGATCCAAAAAATCAACAAACATGCAGGCGAAGCATGAGTGGGCTCCGGCAGCGCTCAGGCGTAAACACGTGTGCCCAAAGCTGCTGCTGGCACTCCGCTCTATCTAGAAATAAGCAGAAGCGGTTGGTGTAGCCTAGAGACCGCTTGGAGAGTGTTGGGAGGATGTGTGGTTATAAAGGATGGTTATAGCGGAGGCTGCGCATACAGAGAAAAGAAAAAAAAGCACGTTAAGGTAATGGCATAGCCATAGTTGTTGGTGTGCATCTTGCTGTATCCAGAGCAACAACAAAAATGCCGCTATACTTTGGACAGCAGAATGGCTAAACGGCAAAGAAATGGTCAAACTGCAGTTTTGTAATTAACAACGACTTCATGTACTTGAGTACAATATCGTCAGTGCCAAGTCCAGCGAGGACAATGCGTCCAGCAAGGCGGCAGGGTTTCTGTTAAAGCAAGGCTCCTGTAGAAATGTAGAAACGAGCAAAAGCAGAGAACAACATCATTATGTCAATGTACGTACCATTGGAACATAGCATGCACAATTTAGCGTGTGCCTGATAGATCAGCACCCACCCCATTACAGCCTCTCTCTCAACTCTTTGTCTGATTGTGTCCAATGGAATACGGATGTATTAAACATGTAATTCGCTCCCTGAGCTCTTCTTTGTATATCACACGTTCACATGTGCATCATAATAGTCTGCATCTGATACATATCCCTCAATGTTTGATTACCGCTTCCTACGTGAAGCTCGGGGTAAAAACAATTATTTCATCCTCCTAGTATTGCTTGAACTAGCTCTCCCTTTCGGTATAGATCACTTTATTGGACAGCGTGGAACCTCTCTGGTTTACAACACACTCGTTGCATTTTCGTAACTACACCACTGAAACTGGGCAGTTGAAACTGCGCCGATGAGCACTCGACTCAATAATCGAAGCTGAAAGGGGGAAACAAATGAAACATAGTGTATCCATTCCTCTTTGATCCTAGAGGGTGGTGGCGTTCCCACGGCGGATGCGGAAAACTCGGCTTCCAGCCGAGTCTCACGCGAACCGTGAATTTTTTTATTTTTTTTATCCATTCCTCACTCCCGGATTTAAACTTACGTTTGTTGTGTGTATAACCTTTAAAGATTTATTTATTTATTCTCCCGGCGTAGTGTGCGGGTTACAGTGAGGGCTGCATCCCACCCGCCTGTGTGGATTCACAGGAAGTGTGAGTTAAGAAGTCTGAAGAAAATGTTGAACGGCCTCTGCTGGGATGACGACTACACCATAGCTCAGTGGTTAGAGCATCGCTGGCTACAAGCGAGGGTCCCTGGTTTGAGTCCTGGTGGTGACAGTCAATTTTTTCTTCAGACTTTTCCCGTTCGTCTCTTTCCCTCAAACCAGTCATATTTATTTATTCAACATCTTATGGCTTCCTATGGCAGTCAAAACGGGAAGATGTGGGTGATAGCAAACCATGGTAAAAGAAGAAGAAGATTATATACATGAAAAGGAAACAGCCGAAAAGCGTTATTGATTAGTTTTGAGTATTGAAGTACACAACAAGATACTTTTCTCAAAACATTTGCCAAGGAAGTTTGTACACTGCAATGCTTGCCATTAAACTTTCAAACAAGTCTCACTAGCTCTGAACCCCTAACATAAGTAGTGTGGCTTGTAGGCTGATTGGTTGCTGAGGCATATGCTACCTCAATAGAAAAGAAGGCATTTCAGGCTTTTTGCTTGGAAACTTAGAGATAGAGTTGCCCAAGCCCTAGCAAATAGCTTACCAGATTTGCGGCCGTTATGTCTCCTGAAAGTCTGGGACGTCCTCGGCCGTCTGCGGAATATCTTCATACAATTGGCCATTGAATGATGTGGTGTGGTGAGGCGGATCGTACGCAGGGATGTCGTTGGAGTAGAATGTGGACGGCTGTACAGTAAAAAAATGCATATGCGCGTATACATCTAATTTTGCCAGAGATCCGGTGAGAAATTACGTAATGCATGCACCCTGGGCATACTTGATGACGTAATGCATGCAGATGGTGATGTAATGGTAAATGTATGCACACTGGGTGCACACAATGATGTAAGACATGCAAACGTTGAACACATAATACTAGTATGATGTACATTGTGTACATTGTGTACTGGCTGCCACAATGCTGTGAACGAATGACACAACCAACACGTCAAACAGGCTCCATGCTACAGCACTGCTAAATGAAATCCAGTCCCGTCACTTAAGTAAGCGCAGGGCGTTGTGCAGCCATAGACCTTTGAACACTGGGCTGCTAAATGATGCCAGGCGTACACTTGAGTGACGCAACTGGATTTCACTGAGCAGCGCTGCACATGCATTATTGCCGTCTTTTGCCATCTTTCTATCTTGCCATCTTTTTAGATTTGCGTTGGGTTTCAGTTCCCGTTATGGCAACACAGGATTGAATCGAACCACATTTGCTTTGCTGGTATAAGAGGCTTTTTCCACGGTACATGTATAATGCATTTCAGGTCATTGCCCGCCTCATAGGCAACGGGTTCCACGTATGGTGTCAACAGCATGCACACCGCAACTCACCTCTGCTAGTCTTTGATATGCAGGAGGTTGCTGTGTAGTAGTAGGCCACTGACCCGATACTGCCGATTGGTTGACCATTGTCTGCATGAGCTGCTTCCGCTTCCACACTCTGCAGAGATAGGGAAAAAATTGTGAAAGAGAAGTAGATAAGGAGACTGGCTGCTCCGGCCGGTGAAACTAGCGATTCTTTCACCGACTGACTGACCCTGCAAACCATTCAAGTGAAATAAAGCTGCGTGAAGTGTCCTTCAAAATTTTGACTGACCCTTGCTTGTAATGGCTACCGTCTGAAGCACATCAGACGCACATGACCTTTCCACTCCGACAACCTCCGAATGGAGATTTCTTGTAGATTTGCTGAGTAGGAGTTTGAGTCCGAAGTCACAACACCTTAGAAAGAGGCAAATCTTATTTAAATTTAGAATCAACTCGTAAAAACTCCAAGTCAATCTCCCATTGACACAAACCTCGTTTATTCAACATAATCATCCTATCCAATAAAAACAGTTCATAAAAACAGCTTTTTAGGATCGGACCCAGTCCGCATAACCAAGAGAGCTAGCTCCCTTGGCTGCTGTTGGAATATGCAAGAATGGGCCTTCCAGATAAGGTCTAACAAGGAGCAGTGGCTATAGTTATGAAATGAACACCGGTAACCATGGAGACAGACCACACTCTCATTATAGATACTGGTTATAAATAGACCAAATAAGGAAAATGATCTGATAGCCTATGAAAAGTAAAAGAAATTGAACCAATGACAACAAATACTCGTCCAGCACACGAGTTGTCATAGCAACACAAATAACAGCTGTCCACTAATTTTGTTGTTGGAGATTGAGTAGGAGTTTTTACTGGTTGATTCTAAATACAATAAATGCTCCGGCCTTGGGTTTATGACCAATAAAAATGTTCGGTTAACGTAGGAGTTACCCGTTGTTAGCGGTCACGTACCATTGCTTCGCTCTTGGCCTTTATAACGGGTTGCATAACCCTCCTTGCGTGTGTGCACAATCTTGCTCTCTCTACATACTGCTGTGTATCATAGACATCACATGCCCACGCTCTGCGCATGCGCAGATTTCCTGTGCGCACAACAGAGCATGCTGTCTTTCCAGTTTCCTTGCCTGCAGTCAGCTTTCAAATTCTGAACTCGAAAATTCTGATTTCTGATTTGAGTTTGCCTCTGTCCTGCTTCAGAGTGTCAGTCCTAGTTCTGCCAATTGGCTGCCGTCTTTAGTATTCGCTTTCCTTGTTCTCTCTCAGCTCAGTCCCGTCAGATTACGTGTCTTCAGCGGCCAGAGATTATTTGAGTATTATATTCTCACGATGGCTCGTTTCTCGACCAGACAAAAGACGCCATCGGCCAGAGTGGCAGCTCAACCTTCCGATACAGGACATAATGTGCGTGTGCGGCGAAATCCTGTTCGTCTTCAATCGCCCAGAACTCCAATACCTCCCCACTCGGATTCTGTTGTCTCCGACGTTGCGTCGTCAGTTTCTTCTGCCGCCGCCTTGAATGTGGGCCCTGATCCCGGGTCGACAGCTCAAACTTCGGCTGCAGGCAGTAATGCGCGTGCGAGGCCAACTCCTGTTCGTCGTCAACCAACCGGGACTCCATTATCTTCCTCCGCGGCCTCTGTTGTCTCCGACGTCGCGCCGTCAGTTTCTTCTGCCGCCGCCTTGAGTGTGGCCCCTGATGTACTTGCTTCGGCCGTTTCTCAGGCAGTCGGCCAGGTCCTCCAGCCCCTGATGGAGCGAGTAGAGCAGTTGGAATCTGCTGCAGCCGTCGAGCCGCCTGTCAAACCCAGCTCCGTTCATGCATTGGGCCATCCGCCGGCTGCTCGTCCGTCGCTCTCTGTACCTGATAAACTCCGCGGGCGATTTAACGCGGCGAGTTTATTGATTTCGACGACCGCCTCCCGGACCAGCTGGGTGTGGAGCCCGATGTGGTCCAGCTAGCTGTGGGGGCTAACCGCTCTGTCCAACTTGTACAGAAGCCAACTCAGGCCCAGCGCCGCCATGTCCACGATGTAGCGTCATGGCTCGAGGCGTTTACTGTCTACACGAGAGTAATTGTCGCGGCGGCTCCAGATAAGGCAAATGATTTGCTGGCATATCAGGCCACTGTTCTGGATGCAAATAACTCGTATTATGTGGACGCATGGCTAAGTTATGACAGGCGTTTCCGGCGCACCATAGCCTCCCAACCACTGTCGTACGACTGGGCTATTATCGACTCTAATTCGTGGCAGCCGTCATTCACCAGCCGTGGTCGCCCGCCATGTTCGCGCTGTTCTCTGGTGCACCCGGTGGCCCAGGCCCGGTGTCACTTTAGACCAGGGCCTCCATCCGAAGGCGCTGGGAGTGGAGGTCCGTCGCAGTCCAGCGCGCCAACCCATCTTGGGAAGCCTATCTGCCGCAACTTCAACAGGGACCAGTGCAACAACTCATTCTGCTATCGTGCCCACGTGTGCCTTCAATGCCACGGGAAGCACCTAGAAGTCAAATGTGGCAGGGGACAGTCCGCCACCTCAGCGTCTGCTCCGTAAACATTCTGTGGAGACTCCCATCAATGTTAGCCGATTAGCCGGGCTCCTTAACCATCATTCTGATCACTCCTTCTCTCACTTTGTGTTGCATGGGTTGTGTCACGGTTTCACGATAGGCCATTCTGCTGCTATATCTGGTTGCGTTCGCAACCGCGAACTCGCCTCACTCCTGGGCCACCTCTCGTTCGCTTCCAGAGCAATTCCGGCCGCCCGTACATTCTTACGCCGCCTGTATGACCTCGACAAGGCCACATCTGAGATGTCATCTCACCGAATGCTGCACCTCTCAGCCTCAGCCAAGGGCGACCTGAGCTGGTGACACCAGACTCTGTCAACATGGAACGGAAAGTCATTTTTCCTGCTAGAGAAGTGGATGCCCAGCGCTGACCTCCAGTCGCAAACCGACGCAAGTGGCCCCATTGGATTTGGAGCCTTTTTCAATGGTCGCTGGTTCAGAGATGACTGGTCCCCGCAGCAACTGGAACTAAGCATTACCTACAAGGAGCTCTTCGCCATTGTCGTGGCCTGCGCCACATGAGGGATCGAGTGGCTGCGTGTGGAGTTTCAGTGCGACAACCAAGCTGTCGTGGAGTGCCTGAAGACGGGCACGAGCCGGTCTCCTGCAGTCATGGCACTCATCCGCACCCTGTACTCAATCTGTGTGAAGCACAATTTCCTGATCCGAGCATCGCAACTGCCAGGAATTTCCAATACCATCGCTGATGCCCTGTCCCGGAACAAGATGGATGCCTTCAGGACCTTTGCTCCTACAGCTGCGGAGCGGCCTGACACCATGGTCCAGCCGATTACTGAGTAAGTGTAAAGACATTCATTTAGGATGCAGATAGCGTTCTCTGTCGATTCTACTCCACAATATCAGTCTGACTTTATGCCTCTAGAACAACGCTCTGTGTGTACATACTTAACATCTATATTGGCTGTTATCACCCGCTATCTCCTCTGGCCCTAATGGGAATGTCGCCATGGGCACTCCTCCGTAACTGGCCTCGCGCGCACTACTATTAAACTCGCATGGGTCATAAACCGCTCCTGCTCAACGCAGGCCGACCCACAAACTCGCATGGGTCACAAACCGCTCCTGCTCAGCGCAGGCCGACCCACTTGGTCATATGCAGCTCCTGCCCTCGGTAGGCCCACCACACGATTCGTTAACGCGCACTCAATTGAGGCCAGCTACTCTGCCCGACATTCCCATTCTTCCAAACTCACTCTTGTGTCTTTTGGTGTGTCGCGTCCTGCACGCGTGTGTGTCTACTCTATACTCTAGCATGGGGAGTAGAATGTTAAACTAATTATAAAACCTCGGGGGACCTCGGTTTTTATAATAGTTTTTATTGGTCATAAACCCTCGGCCTCCTCATTTATTGTATACTTAAAAGCAGCTCATTTCTTGACACAACCGCACTACATGCCTACTGCTAAATTCAACCGCTTGAAAAAATTGTATTGCGGATGGCTTGAAATGTATGACCATCAGCTTCACAAAGCTGCACTGTGCTTCACTGCAAAATGCAAAGCTACAGAGTTTGTGTGAGTGAAATCACTTGAGATGCACTTCCCCCTGCACAGGACCAGTATCACATGCACAGTAAGGAGACGGATAATCTAGGGAGACAAACATGGGTGTGAGGAATCAGGAACAGTGAGCATTTCCCTCCCAGGCTGTCTGTTTTAGGTGCATTAGGTTCAGAGCCTGTTTGCCAACTTGCGAAATATGGCAGCAGTGATCCGGGGTGTGTTTGGGGTCAGCACGCCGGTGCATTAGAGTACTTGAAGTGTAAGTCCTATTAGGGGTCAAATCTCGTTTCCTATACTCTGTCTAGAATGAGCCTGCATGTACATGCACAGCCATCATCCAACTAGATGTACTCGTGAAGAGCTCCAAGACTAAGGAAGAACAAAACAGTATCACAGCTGATCAGTACAGGATGCTTGGAACGGGCAATTATTATTCTCTAAATACAATGATGATCAATGAACTGGCACACAATACCATACCTTGTCCAGAACAAATAGATGGCCACCACGCAGGCAGTGATAACCACGATTGCTCCTGTGAGGCCGATTACTACAAGTATTCCAGTTGTCAGAGTTTCTGTGCTCCCCTGCTTTTGACCAGCTGATAGTGGTGGTGAAGATGTGATGGCTATGTACTCATCAGGATCTGCACAGAAAGAGACAAATTAACCCACACCTCTTTTTTTCTGGATACCGAAGTTACGGACGCGTCGGTCTTCCAGGCAACCTCCGGGCGAGTTTTAGTGGAAATATTACTAATCCTTTGCCAATTTCAACCACTTTAGGAGCTGCATCTGCGCCTTGATCCTTGAAGGGTGGTGGCGTTCCTACGGATGTGGAAAACTCGGCCTCTATATAGAGAAACCGGATCTCACGCGAGCCGTGAATTTTTTTGCCAATTTTGTTGAAATACGTGCACTCGTATTTGAGACATGCGCCAGGTCTCTGGCACTTCCCCGGCCAGACGTATGTGATTCAGAGTTTCGGATACGTCCACGTCATGGGAAGTGCCTGCTCCCAGACTTCCCAGATAACATAGATATATGTATTGGTGCACATAGCCACCTTGCTCTTACTACAGTGTAGTGTAATCCAATTTTATAAATACATTTCAAGAGAATAATTAGTTAGTACTTCAAAAGCATATTCAGTATAATGTATCCGGACTGTCCATTTTTTCCCTTGCATCCATCAAAGAACACTTATTCATTTGTTCACGATCACATGATGACAGCCAAGGGCGTTTTCGTCGCTATGGCAACCAATGAAGTAGAGGCGATGCTGCCAAACTTCTGATGTATTACTTGAGGTTAACACCGCCTTCGATTGGAATTGTGATGAAAACGAGTGCTGGACTGAACAGCAGTCGCCAAGGCACAGTGATTTTAATTCAAGTTTTTCGAACACTTGCATCGAGAAAGAGTCAGTACCTTAAAGTCCACTGCAAACGCCCACCCCATTTTTGCAAGATCTGCCGGCCTATACGCACTGACCCCGTGCACTTTCACCCCTGCTCTACGAAAGTGCATCTCACACCGTAGCGCGAGGAGTGCTTTGCTACGGTAAACTAGGTCCATTTTCCAGGTTTCAATATATTTTGGGCACTAGTTACGAGCTAGTGTCTCGTGATTTTGTGATGTTGGTTGTTTTATTTCGCAAATCCAAACGGCAGTTTAATACTTTGGAATAACAAGGCAGTGAAGAACAGGCTATTGCAGGAACCTTAGTACACTTCTGACGGTGTTTGAAGCCATCATTTCCCAATCACGCAATGCGCAAAGGCAAGGTTTTTTTCGAGCACTTCAGAGTTTTCAACAAAATAGCAGCGACTTTGTACGTGTAGCTTCTGTGACATCCCCCCTGTTCAACTTGCAACTGCAATACTGCGACGTTGAATGACACTTCGTCAGAACAATCACCATTCCATTCTGAAAGCGCGACATCGTGGCACTGCAGAAATTTCATGATTTGAAAACCAGATGGATTCTACGGCATTACTCCATGGAGAACGAACTAATAACAAAGACGACTCATTCATCATATTAAAGGAAATCTCGACCGAAGTTTTTTTCTTTGCAGCAAGATAATGATAATCGCTTTTGCAGAGCCTCTTGGTAAGACATAGGCAGTTTGTAGGCATTTTAGTCGTTCTTGTACGCATTCGACCTTCATGCCAGTTTTCTACAACTATATTAACCTGGAAAAGAAGAAAATAGTATGGACCCGCTAGGGTGGCCGTTTGCAGAGGACTTTACGGTAGTAGGGAGGTGTATACAGAAGTCAGTGTCCTGTTGCAACAGACCGAGTTTCACGTACATTTAAATCGACTAATATGGCCACAGCGACGCATCCCGCCTGTGTTCGGATCATAGATAGAAACAGTTTCCACAACTTTTTACATTAAATGTTGCTTAGTGGATAAACTTTTTGGTTTCGCAATCTGTAAGTTCCCCTGCAATGACACAAAGCCGCACGGTCAAGTAGACACTTCCTTTCATCTACCAAACGTTTCCTTCCCTTCTCTTCAGGATAGTACAGGGAACAATGGAAATTTTGGACAAACACTATAATTATATATCTATCACCTCTCTGCTGTGCTTCATTCATTGTACAAGTTCATTTGATTTTTGCCTGTATGTCATCTGATGATAAGGCATGAAAGTATACTTGTGAAAACTCTCAAATTGCTGAAGAGCCTGAAGTATGTCCTAATTCTAGGTATAATTGCATTCTTGTCTCCAAGGAAAATGTACACTACAGAGTCTGTGAATGACAAGGAAAGAAAAACGACTACACTTTAACATTCGATTTTGACCATCTCCAAACTACCGCTTGAACAAATTATAATTTCCGTAGCTATGCATGACGTTACTTCAGTAACATCTGGCGCTAGCTAGGGTTTACACTAACTTTTGCCTTCAAATACACTGAATTTGCCAGTTCGCCTACCATGATAGTTACACAGATCATCCTGGTACCAGAGAGGCTGACAAGGGTCACGGCTGCATCCGTAAATGTTCAATGTATCCGTGCGGCGGTATCCCTCTCGACACTGACATTCGAAGCTACCCCAAGTGTTGATGCAACGTGAGCTCTCAAAGTCGCATATTTGTATATCCCATTGACATTCATCAATGTCTTCGCACTCAGATGACTCAAAACCGGTCTTGAGGCCCGCTGGACACACGCATACATAGCTCCCTTGAGTGTTGGAACAGGTCTTCTCATACCCTTCTCGTCTGCCGCAGTCGTGGCTTCTGTCCGAACATTCATCTATATCTGTGTTAGAATACCAAACAATAAAATGGCCTTCCTCGAGAAACTAAGACTGCACCATAGGCAACCAATAATATATTCATACATCCTCGCAACCCTTTAAAGGGAGGTCTGGTGAATTTTCTTAAACATCAAACGATACAAAGATGGCTGTTGAGAGTGCTGTGAAAACAGTATTTTACCGCCTGTTGTTATTCTTAGCCACTTGAATTGCTTGGAGAGCATTACAAATGAAATTTAGTTCTCGTTCCACTGCGAAAACTCAACAACTATCTATTTCTTAAGGTAGGCAAGCTTCACTGCGGCCACTCCGATTACATGAAAACCGTACACACACCATCCTCAAATCAAGTGGTCTCTTCGCTGTAAATTACTAGTATCTCAATTAAATTAAATTTTTCGGCCAGGAGCCATCATCATGTTCGAGGAGAAAAACAAGTGAAGACGACCATATTATTATGAAAACTGCCCATCTTTCGGAGGATAGTTGACTGAACACGGCTCAGCACTGCCAGGTCTAAGCATGCAGAATACACACTATAGCATCCTCAACGCAAAAAATGAATACTTCGAATTACACATTTTCAGAAGATTTTAATCTCTACATAGCATTCAGTATTTGCTAGATTTGTCACGTGAACCTTGCATCTGATGACTTATCTGAATTTGCCCAGAGCAGATTGAATTCAGTACACATACTCGTAAGTCCACAGAGAATCAAAATCTGCTAAGATGGATCACCATATTAAAGTGCTTGATTCATAATGATATACATTACGAAATAGAGGTAGCGACTTCGGCGATGATTTTGTTTAGGAATGGGTTTGCTCCCACACTGGAGCTCGCGCTATTTCGCCACTGACTTGACACTTGGCTGACTCACAACTGCCATCCAGAGAACACGAGAAGTCCATCGAACCTTTGACTCGGCAAACCTGCAAGAAAGCACCACTCCCTGCTCAATACACAGTGTTTCGGGGAATTCACCCCTCATCAGTTGAGCTTGAGTAGGCTGAGGAAACGCTGGAAACGGAGTGTCTCTGTAAGTTTGTATCCCTGGTGATGCTTGTGCCTGAACAGTACTATATAAGTGGTGCTTTTCAGGCACAATCTTCCTCAGCCTACTCAAGCTCAACTGATGAGGGGTGAATTCCCCGAAACACTGTGTATTGAGCAGGGAGTGCCGGGTGCTTTCTTGCAGGTTTGCCGAGTCGAAGGTTCGATGGACTTCTCGTGTTCTCTGGATGGCAGTCGTGAGTCAGTCAAGTGTCAAGTCGTCGGCGGAATAGCACGAGCTCCAGTGTGGGAGCAAAACCATTCCTACAAAAATGATATCCATTCATGGCATTAACGCAATAAATAGAGCGAGCTGCGCACTCAGTACAAACCCCACAAGCCTGGTACGAGGGAAACATGTATCCTGTGAATGGAATTTCGGCCTTTGACCAATTTGTGGTGGGTCTGATCTAATCACCTCCCACCACATCAGGACCTGCATCTGCGCCTTGATCCAAGAGAGTGGTGGCGTTCCTACGGATGCAGAAAACTCTGCTGTTAACAGTGAAATTGTTTACCAAGATTTGCTTATGGTGTTTGTACTGAGTGCGCAGCTCGCTCTATTTATAACGTTCTTATCTCCACGGAAGCTTTTTTATGTATGGCATTGCTCACCTTGGCAGGATGTTGCGCCCAATTTTGAATACCCCGGTCTGCAATCACAAGTGTACGTTCCTGGAAGGTTCCGGCAGGTCGGTCTTGGGAAGTCACAGGCAGGGTACAAGATAGTACACTCATTCGTGTCAACGCATTGCAAGCGACGGTCTGTGTATTGGCGGGTATTATACGACCCTTGGTAGCCATGAGCACACCGGCAGAGATAACCCGGACTGGTGTTTACGCAGTATGCGTTTTGTCGGCATGGCGACTGCCGACATTCATCCACATCAATGCACAGGTCACCTGATCGGCGTGTCCCCTGCGCGCAATCACACGCATACGTTCCGTTCTCCTGCATCTGGCACACGCGGTGCGGCCCGCACGCAGACCGGGTGACGCGGCAATCGCGCAGCACGCAGTCACCACCGTCAGCAGTGGACCGATACACCGGGTGACACTGGCACGCGTATGAGCCGTTCGTATTCACACACACTCCCCGCTTACCAGTACAGTCGTGACTACCGTCCACGCACTCGTTTCGATCTCTGCAAGAGTAGTCATTAAGCTGAAAACCCGGCTGGCACTGGCATACAAATGAACCTGCAGTGTTCGCGCAGGCCCCGTGCGGCTGACAGGCACTGTACGTAATGCATTCATCGATATCCGAACATCTCACATGCCCGTCCTCCTGTGGCGAGTGGGTCAGGTTAAAGCCGGTGCGGCAACCGCATTGGTAAGCCCCAACTGTGTTGACGCAATCCAGGCCTTTCCGACGGCAAGCATCTAGCACCAAAACATTGTCACACTCGTCTATGTCAGAACAGACTGCTCCATTGCCCGTAAAACCGGCGCTGCAGATGCATTCGTACGATCCCGGGGTATTACGGCATGTCGAATGATTCTGGCACCGAAAAATATGGTCATAGTATGGCAAACACTCATCACGATCAAAGCACAGTGTCCCGTTCCAGCTGAAGCCTTCGTTGCAGCGGCAAACGGATCGTGCGTAGGCGGGATAATTCAAACAGTATCCGTTCACGGTGGAGCATGCCGGGATCCGGCTTTCACAGAAGTCAATTTCCTGGCACTTCCCCGGCCGCCCGGAGCCGTTGTGGCCCGTCCAGCAACCGTCGCACGTGTATCCGGGGAAGAAATTCACACACCCGGCTTTCTCGTCACAAAACCGTGCTTCTTCCGCGCATTCGTCCCGGTCGACGCATTGGTAGCCGGACTGGACGGCCCCGTCAAGGCAGTCACACCTATAACTGCCAATGGTATTGGTGCAGGAGCCATACGGTTCACACGCCGTCTCCGCGGAGCACTCATCAATATCAACGCAGGAACTTTTGTTGGGATTCAACCAGTATCCGCTAGCACATCTGCACTCAAAGCCACCCGCTATGTTGAAGCACATCACATTTTCGCCGACGCCATGGCCACTGCTGCAGTTATTCATCGCGCTGTCCCGGCATTCGTCAATGTCCGTGCAATTGTGCCCATTTCCCGTGTATCCATGACGACAGCTGCCGCAGTGAAACGACCCATACGTATTGGTACAGCTTGCCAGGCCACTGCACTGGTAAGCGTCACATTCGTCCCAGTCGACGCAAGTTCTGCTGTGCAGGCTGTAGTCTTGACTTTGCATAAAACCAGTATTGCACTCGCAGTAATAATCACCCAGTGTGTTGACACAGGTGCCGGTGTTATTAAAGTCACAGTTGTGAAATCCCAGTGCACATTCATCTATATCAAAGCAATCGCCGGGCAATCCAGACCCAGTGAAGCCACTCTGGCAGCCGTTGCACCGATAGCTCAGCAAATGATCGACGCATACCCCGTGCACATCACAATACGTTCCTGGGACAAATCTCTTAGAGCATTCATCACGTTGAACGCACCTTGCCACCCAGTGAAATTCCCGGGTTCCCGCAACACAATCGCAACTATACGTGCCGGGCGTATTGATGCATGTACCGTATGGCGTGCACGCTCCTTGCTCAGTACATTCATTGATGTCTACACAGCCAGAGCCTTGTGGCTTGTACCCGAGCTCACAGTGACACTCGTAGCTATTCAGTCCAGTTCCCCAGCAGACCTTTCCCTGAGACGAGCAGTTGCTGACCGCATCGGAATTATTAACCTTGCACTGGTCAATAAAAGAACAGTAGCCATAGGGGAGCCCATCCGACAGTTCTGCGCCGGGCTGGCACTCGCAAGTATATGATCCAAATGTGTTCGTACAGTTCGCGTGCCGCCAGCAATTGAATATGCATTCATTCTTATCTACACACTGATCGCCGTCCAGCTCGAAACCCGGATCACAATAGCAGCGATAACTTCCCTGCGTGTTGGTACAGTGACCATTTGCATTGCAAGGCAGCCGCCCCTGATCCGATCTCAGAACACATTCATCAATGTCGCTGCAATTGCCCACTGTTCCGTCACCCGTGTATCCAGTGAGGCAGCCGTGGCACTCGTAGCTCAGCGGCGTGTTGGTGCAGACGGCGTGTTCGTCGCAGAACATCCGATTGACGCGATGTCTCCCGGAGCACTCATCACGGTCGGTGCAATCCGGCGGAACGGTACCGTCCGGGCACGCACATTCATAGTAACCAGGGTGATTGAGGCACGTGCCAAACGGCCGACACTTCCCGTACTCCACGCATTCGTCTGTGTCGTCACATGTCGCCGTGGTGACGTTTCTATGGTAACCAGACCTGCAAGCGCAGTAGTAGGAGCCGGGCGTGTTGTGACAACCCTGGCCTGGGTTGGTGCAATCGTTCCACTCCGGATCATTGCATTCATTTGTATCTGTACAGGCAATGCTACTGGACCATGGCAATTGCTGGTATCCTTCATTACACGCACACTCAAAGCTGCCGATGGTGTTCACACAGTGAGAATGGCGATGGCACTGCGTATGATAGTGTATACACTCGTCAATATCGATACACACATCGTCTGGTCTCCAGTATCCGGGCCGGCAAGCGCAGTAGAACGTGTCTGGGCCGAAAATGTTTCGGCACGCATGAAACCCGCTGGCGTTGCAGTAGCTCTCGCAAGCATTCAGTGCCCGGCACGTTGTCACGCCGACGTGCGGAATGTTGACGCAGGTATTGTTGTCCGCCGTTGAGCAATCTTGCACGCTTTCCAAGCACTCACTCTGGCAGTTGCCCGGAGAACCGTCTCCGGTGTATTTGAACGCACACGTGCACCGATAACCTGGAAACGTGTTTGCGCATAGGCTGTGTGTATCGCAGTATCTGTCACGATTCTCTGGGCTACATTCGTCAATGTCTATGCAGCCATATCTTGAATAACCATGTGTTCCTGGAGCGCACTGGCATACGTAACTTCCTCTGGTGTTCAGGCATGTTGCATGAGAACCGCACGGCTTCCCCAGGTCACATTCGTCTCTGTCCGCACACGTGTCATTAGCCGTCATTGTGTACCCGATTGGGCACGCTCGGTTGCACCTTGCCCCGGCATATCCAGGTTTGCATTCGCATTGGAAAGTCCCGATCGTGTTCACGCACTGTTCGTGCGAGGAACACGCCGACGGATACGTTTGTTCACATTCGTCCTCGTCCATGCATCGGTTAGGGCCGTCATTCTGGAAACCAGGCAGACAGTGGCATCCGTGACTGCCCTCAGTGTCGAAGCACAGTCCGCCCTGTGCCACGGTGCAGTCAGCCAGCTCCTCCGTAGCACATTCCGCGATCTTCTGGCAGAAACCGGCACTCCCGTTTCCGCTGAATCCCGGCAAGCAGCCATCGCACCTGTAGCTCAATACCAGATCCACACACCGGGCATGGATGTCGCAGAAGTGGCCACGGTGTCTGACGGCGCATTCGTTCCGATCTCCGCAGTCGCCGTCCTGCATTTCAGCCCCGGCCGAACAATGGCACACGTAGCTGCCCTCAGTGTTCTGGCATGTAGCGTAGGGACCACAGTACGGAGGGTACCTTTCACACTCATCCATATCTGAGCACACGATGCCGTCTCCACTGAATCCGCTCTTACACACGCAGCTGTATGCGCCCGGACTGTCCAGACACACTGCATTCGCATCGCACCGTGCCGCTAGGGATCCCGTTTCGTGACATTCGTTCACATTCCCACAGTATTCTGTAGTGGCATGTCCGGATACGGTGGCGCTGTCGTCAGACCTACTGTAACCTGGCAAACATCCGCAAGTGAATTCCTCGCCCGTTTGGTTGTTTCGCTCATTCGTGCACATGCTGTGCGGTCCCAGGCTGGTACATCTGGCGTGAGGCACGACACATTTGTTTATGTCTGTGGGTGACAAGGTAGCATAGAACACCAAAGAAGAAGAGCAGTAATATCATTCTTTGTGACGATTTCGAAAGATTTTCACACACATGCACACACACACACACACACACACACACACACACAAGCACGCATGCGCAGTCATGCGTACACACACACACACAAGCACGCATGCAGGAACACGCTTGACAAATCGGAGCTGGAACCATGGTATACTGGTTCATCTCAGGCTAAACACATCCATCGCAGTAAAGCGTTCCAGTGACCCATACAGCACATGCCCTGATCATACAGAACAAAACTCGACTATTCCAACAATTAAAACTATTTATCAACTCTTGCCGAATTGAATGAGCTTTGTTAGCTTAGCTCATTGCGTGACACTGCAAATATGGTGTAACCGCCGCGCATTTGTCACCATACACTTTCAGTGCATTCCATAGTCTACTTTCTGGGAACATTTTGGTAGAACTGAGCCTAGGTAACTATGACAATATGTAATACAATACACCAGGGGCTTTTATATTTTGTACGAAATTAATACAAGAACAAATTGAAGTGCAGTTGCTGAATAAACAATTCAGACACAAGGAATAATCTGGTCGGGCAAATGTACGTTACGGAATGAACAATTCAGGGGCAAGGAAACATCTGGGTGGGTGAGTTTCTGACGAACAAATTTAGCAGCAAGGAATAATCCGAGTGGGTACTTACTTTGGCAAAACTTTCCGATATAGTTAGAGGTGCAGTCGCATGTCGACAACCCGTCCATACCAGTACTGCATGTCCCACCATTCTGACACGGGCTCGAGGCACAGGTACTGGTAGTACCTGTCAGAATGTCAAGCAGAAAACGACACACACTGGTATTGCACCCGGAGCGACAACATTTCTGACCAACAAAGCTTCTACTGTTGCAAAAAGAAGAATTCCACATGTTTACACTACGGGAATTTCCCCATTTTACGTCAGAGTTGCTCAGACTGTTTTTTCTGCAAGTGTGGAAACACCACCACCCTCACGGAACAAGACAGAGAAGCAGCTCCTGAATAGGCTTTATCCAAATCGGCCCGGTTTTTTCGCCTATTCGACTTTTTGCATAGCTCAAAAATACATCAGATTCGGCTGCAAAATCAGGTGATTGTTCGAAAATCGGCTGCAAAATTGAAATAATTATAAATTCTTTTAGCCGATTTTCCAATATTATTGGAAAATCGACTAAAGAATTTTTGGCATATTGGCTTCAACATTGGTGGGATAATGGAATACAGCTCTGCTAGATGGAACTTGCCAAAACAGTACGCTGTAGTTTAGTATTTTACCAGTAACGATCTTCCTAATGGCCAATGTTTGTTTGAGAGAAGGTCAAAGGGCACGAGTCACATGACCTCAACGCACTAGTACTACGAGCGGTCATGCTTGCAGCAACATCATTCGTTCCTAAACGCACTTTGTAACAACATTTGGTAGATTTCCGGCGTGTCTCAAAGGAACCCTCCAAAATTGGCGAAAAGCTTAGCTATTTTTCGATCAGTCTCGTTTTCGGCGAATGTGAAAGCCTACTCCTGAATCGGTGTGAGGCGAATAGATCAGACCCGCAACCAAAGTGGTCAAACACCACAGATCCCATTTGTTACATCCACTGGGATCTTGGACCAGGCTAAGAGTTCCGAGTCACCTGTGTGTCCCAGCAAGGTTGGAGAATGCACCTGTTAGAATCAAGGAATGATCAGTAGGTCAAACCCAAGATCTGCCTAAACTGAAATCAATACCCAGCGTATAGGCCGCAGAGCGTATTTCTGGCTGACAGTCGGAGAAAATGGACATGTAGTTCAAGTCTGTCCCTGCGGGAATTTGCGGAAAAAACTCTCGAAAACTTGCGCAAGAAATTGCGGCAGAAAACAACAAAAAATGCGACGAAAAGTGCGGAATGATGCAGAACTTACCAGGAATTCGCGGAATTATTAACAGAAAATTGCGGATTTGGGCCAAATCACGAAATATGTTGCATCGTATAATTATCTAGTTGGGAGTAGTCGAGTCGTACTGTGCAAATAACTTACAGGATCATGGAAAGCACTGCGTGAAAGGTGCATAGAAAAGTGAGATATAGTGCAGAAAACAACAAAAAACGTGGGAAATCGCGGATTTTCCGGAAAAAATGGCGGGTTTTGGGCGAAAATCGCGAAATTTGTTGCATCCGTGGAATCGCGATTTCCTGGAGGAACAGTCAAGTAGACAGGTGACTTCGATCTAGGCTACACCATACTGTATGAACACCTTGCCACCGGACGTGAGAAAGTGCAAACAAATGAAAAACAACACCTTCATACTCATCAATCATAGCGCTGTCATTGTGTCCTCCTTACCCTACCTTGATTGCCATAGTTATTAATTCATTTGCTTTTGACTTCACTGGTTTGAGGGAAAGACACAATCGGGAAAGGTCTGGAGAAAATTGACTGTCGCCACCAGGACTCGAACCAGGGACCCTCGCTTGTAGCCAGCGATGCTCTAACCACTGAGCGATGGTGTAGTCGTGATCCCAGCAGAGACCGTTCAACATTTTCTTCAGACTTCATTTGTTCTTTAGTACAACGGTGAAAAAAATTTCGCGCTGAAATCATTGGCGCTGTCAAGACACGGCGCTGAAATGGCACCGAGCTGAAATGCCTCGCGCTAAGGCGGTCGCGCTGAAGTGCACCGCGCTAACATGGACGCGCTGTCGCGGGAGGTCACCATACTACTCCCTGGCTAGAGCCCAGATATTCCGACAAAGGACACACAACTACATAGTGCAAACCATAATCTAACATCGAACGTTCCTTTCTCACCATTTTTAGTGACATTTGACGTAGTCAATCCATCATCGTCATGGGTCGAAGCTCCATGCTCTTCTTCTTCCTGCCCACTGTCAGCATCGAAAGGATCGGGCAGCTTCAGTTCCGGCTCGTCCTGGCAGTGACTGTCGTGCGGGAGCGTGGCGACGCACAGGACAACCATGGCTGTTAGCCTCAGGTACATGTATGTGTCCCGTTCCATCTCGCGGCACCCAGCATTGGCAGCAAAGGCAGCAAAGGCAGATCGACTCCGCTTTTAGTGTTCAGGAAGCGTAGACTCTACCTATCTTTCGACTGCTGTAGCCGACCCTGGTACTATGCTACATGTATTTCTTGGAAAGATTCGAAATGGCTACATAAGGTACGCCTTTAGCGGCAGCTCCTCGAGTTTATCTCAGTGTTGATAGTAGACCAGCAAGAACAGATCTCGAGAAACTGTCAGACAATGTGCAGTTTTAAAAATTGAGTTCCGGCTTTCCGTTCCGCAGTGTGAATACAGTTGCTCGTGGCAGTCGTCGCCAAAGCGAAGTGCGTCAACTCAACGATTGATGTGGCCTCTTTGCATTTCCTCGAGATTAATTTTGTTCATGGTAAATCTACACAGCTATCGACAGCGTATGGAGAGACCCTTTCTGGACTCGACGACTGAACCCAGCCGTATATTAGCGTATATTGCAACAGTCCTGACTGACCGACCTCATGCTGTATGCAAGATACACAGACTGTCTGTGCTACCGTTCTGACCGACGGACCTGATGCTGTATGCACGCTGTAGATCTACTGATCGTCTGTGACTACTAGTAGTACTGTAATAGTACTAGTAGACTGTCCATGCACAAGTCCTGACCGAGCAACCCGATGCTAAGTGCCACTGTATCACTCCCCGATGCTAAGTGCCACTGTATCACTGTATGCAGTCAGTATGTACTACAGTGCTGGAAACTGAAATCCGACACCTGAGCGGTGGGTTCACATTCTTTGCGATGTGAGCGAGCCGCTCAGGGGGGTCGGATTTCAGTTGCCACCACTGTACTTGTACGTAACATACCCGCAATGAATTGCTACTGCTAGTGCTTCTCCTCACTCGTAAACTGTGCACATTCTGGCGATCTACATGTATTCAGAATGCTATCCTTGCCTCACACTCACAAAACCCTGTGTCTGCGCTACTTACATTCACTACTTGATAAGGTATTTCTTGACTAGCCCCCACTTGTTCCTGTCCCAAGTCGTCCACCCAAATCCAAGTGTACCATCAAATCAGTCATGAGTCGCTTTGGCCCTTCAGAATTGAATTCAAAGTCTTTGAGTTTGGCTGAATGGCAAGCGGTGAATGGTACATGTAGATGGAGCCCTCTTGTAAAAGAATCACAAATCAGGCTCGTGAATTCGTCAGTGACACAAAAAAAAAAAAAATTTCATGGTTCGCGTGAGACTCGGCCAAAGGCCCAGTTTTCCGCATCCGCAGGAACGCCACCACCCTCTTGGATCAAGGCGCAGATGCAGCTCCTAAGCGGTGGGAGGTGAGTAGATCAGACCCACCACAAAGTGGTCAAAGACCGAAATCCCATTCACTGCATCCATGTTTCCCTCGTGCCAGGCCACGAGTTCCCAATTAACTGTGGGTCGCAGCACGGCTGGAAAAAATCCTTCCGCTTCCAAGCAGGACTTGAACCTGGTACCCTCTGTTTCTCAATCATGGTCTTAGACCATCCCACTATGCCTGCCTGCCAGTGACACAAGTCACTCATAAAATACCGGTACAGTTTTAGCTCTGGACTTCGCGAACATCATCTTACCGCACGGTATGGATCCTCACATTTGCTGTCTGTTGACTTTCTGTACATGTACTGGACACTCGGAATCACGAAAAACAGGTGTAATTCATCCTAGTCTCTTTCAGTTTGTCATCAACCACTACGCAATAGCTGCACTCTCCAGCCAACCTCGACACTTTGCCACAGCACACCATCAGAAAAGCGACACATCCGTTGGTACGAGTTGGTCATTATACCTGTGAACATTGCATTCATTCAATCATTGTTTTATTTCCCCGTACGAGAGGCTTCTTTATAATGTTGGTATTGAAGTCTATCTTAGCCCTTCCACAGGACTTAAAAGAGCTACATATATGAACTATGGAGGAACTCCGTACCAACGGATATGTTGCTTTGCTGTTGCCGTACTGTGGCAAAGTGTCGAAGTCGGCTGGAGAGCGCAGTTGTGGTATGATGGTTGATGTTAATCTGTAGAGTCGAATGCTGGTGCTTGGCCTTTCTTTCCTCTCAGTTTGAGTGCACAATTATTATCAGATTTTTCAATGCCCTTCCGGCCTTGTATGACTTTAGAGAAAGGCAATCCACCAAAATAGTTTCAAACTGTCTTGACCTCCCTGGAGTTCAGAGTGGTTGGTGTAATCTGGACTGTCAAATAAGGGAACCGATCGTGCTATGGTTCCTATTCAACGAGCAACGATTCAGAGAGCAGCAATTTTCCTTTTCTCTCTCTCTCTCTCTCTCTCTCACTGTCCCTCTCTCACTTTCTCTTCTAAATCTCACCCCTCTCTTGTTCCCTCCATGGGCCATCTCACTCAAGTGCTACGGGCGAACTGTCTTCATCATCATTATTCAAATTATCTACATGTATCTCTGGAAACGCGTGAGCTCCAATGTGGGGAGCGAACTCCTTTCCTAAAAACAAAAATCTCCCAAATCGCTACTTCTATCTCGTACAAGGTAATATCTATCTCCCTCTCTATTTCTCACTACCTTTTTCTCTCTCCATTCTGTCTACATATCTATCTCTCTCTATCACTCTCCCTTTCTCCAATCACTTTCACTGTCTCCCTTTTCTCTTTCTCTGTTCTTCACCCTCTGGGAAGCAACCAACTGCCTTATAAACGTATTGCCAAATTCGCTATGACGCAGCATGACGCGATGCTGTCACTTTCCTAAGTAGGAACTTTAATTCTTGGTGCGAGGTGGAGAGAGTATGCCTGGCCACTAAAGACAGTGTGTGGGTACTTCTGCTAAGAGATCGTATGCGTGGCCCTGCCCGAAATACCAATACATGTACTGTGGCATGGCACCTGCAATACAACATACGTGTATACTGGAGAAGAAATCAGGAAAATTCATGTGTAAAACAAGAATGTTCAAACCCAAACCAAAAAGAACTTCAAATCAAAACTTCATAGAATAAAATTAATAAAAATAAGTAAAAATAAATTATTATCAACGAACTCAATCAATAAACTCACTTCAAAAGGGGAAAAAACATGGCATCTCATTACTAGTACGCCGAAATCGCGAGCGCTATTGCGTTACTGCATGGTCATCACCACTTGGTCGCTAGGACGAAGACCACTTAGCCTGAAAGTCCTACTGCAGCAGGGACCAGTGAGGACCCTTTCAGGATCACAACTACATGACATTGTACAGTACATAATATGACTGGTTCGGCCACAATAATATTTTGGGGAACACACTGGGAAGATGTCGGGGCTCACCACTCCAGGCACACCTCAAGCACCCTGAAATCACAACATTTCAAGTCAACCCGACAACCGTCTTCAGGAGCGTGCGCATGCAAAACTCATCGCCATGACGTCATAGGACCATGTCCATCGTCCTGGAGTCTGGCACTCTGGCTCCCTGGAAGTGTGCATTCTCAGAGCTAGTTATGGTAGCTCGAGAGGTTGGTCCGATACACCCCAGTCCAGAGTCTTATACATACACGGGAGTAGCTGGGACAAATCTGCATTGCGATGCCTGAGTTTCACTTTGACGCGATCACGACATCAGACAGGGTCTATGCATCTGTGTTTGCGCACATAATGATTTTCTAGTATGCCGGCATGAACAGTACCGGTAGATAACAATGCGTGCGTGCAGGTAACGCCTAAGCAGATTTGCTGGCGGACATCTACCGACAGTCCGCGTCTGGCACAGTTCCGCCGGATCTGGATCTCTCTCTCTGCTGGGTGTTTGTGAGTCATTGCCCACTGCGCATGGATTACTGGAAGTCTCCACGTTTATAACAGCGCTGTAGGCCAGTCGAATCACCATCCGGGAGGGTGAGAAGGTGGCGATCTATGTTCAGAATCTCCCAGGACGAACATAGAAAGATGTCTCGTTTCCGGCGGATGTTCGCCACAGGTCTGTTGGTGGCTTTAGCAACCAACTTTATCTTGTTGCCCTGCCATGGTATGGATGAGGATGTGCTGAAGAACGTCGTGTTCAGCGATGAGCACGAGGAGACACGTGACATACAGTATGACACTGATGCTGGTGGTGCTGGTGGTGCTGCTGCTGCTGCTGGTGGTGCTGATGGTGGTGGTGGTGGTGCTGATGGTGGTGGTGGAGGTGATGATGACAGTGACATGGATTTCACTATCCACATGGGCAAAGGTACGTACCCAAAAACGACCCGAACGGTAATAATAATTCTGAGATTTCACGTAGGGTTTACCTTGGCGCTGACAATGGCGCAAGGTGAAAGGCGAAGGTAATGAGAGAGCGAACATCCTTTCCGTCTTTGTAATTGAACTATCCCCAGCCGCTCATTATGGTAAATGGGACACCTTTCGGCACTGCTTTGTTCAGTAGATCTCTCGCAGCCGGTCGCCGGCAAGAGTGCCGACTGGGTCTGCTCGAGCAATCCAGACACCGCTTGCTAGAACTCGAAGAAACGAAGAAAAGTAGGTGTCTATTTAGCAGTAATCAACGTCAACCATCAATGGTCGGCCACATATACGTGTACATGGATTGTGTGGAAAACTTCAAAAGATGCACTTTCTTTTGGTGTTCGCTGCACGACTAGCAAATCGACAACGACTGTTCTTTTTGCGTTGTCCTAGCCTCCCAAGACATCGGCAAGTATGGGCAAGAAAACAAAGCCCTCGGTTAATTCATCTCGCAGTGGATCTTAAATCGATCTCTCTGAAGCTGCAGTTACCCGTTGGTGTATGGGTGATTTACATTTAGCACCACAGACAAATTACAGTTATTTCCTGGTAATTCTAAGTTGCCCTTTTCCTTCTCTTTTCTGGTCAAGTCGCCATAGCAGAGAGACAGACAGACAGACACAGAGACGTACAGGGACAGAGAGACCGGGGAAATAGAAATTAAAAAATGAGACAACAGGGTGAAAACATAATTATTATTGCAAAGTAAAATTGAGAAGTCAAATTCAAGAATGGAAATCGAAATAAATCGAGATGAGAACGGTCATAGCATATGGTACACACTGTATGCAGAAGTCGTCATTCCAAGTGCATTTTCAGGATATGATCCACATTGCTATTAAATTTTGAGAAAGTGCTAATGTGTCACCTGAAAAGGTTTTCGTGAGGAAGCTGCAGATTATACATGTGGCAACAAAATTGTCTAATGTACAGGGTAGTTCATTCATTATTTCAGAAAATCCAGGCACTCGTAATTCAACCCACCTGTCATGTCATGCCTATCATGTGGCCAATGATTTCATCCCTGCGCTTGGTCACCCCCCCCCCCCACACACATACACATTATAGCAATAAAAACTGCTTTATGGCAGTTTTCTAAAAAAAGTTATTGTGTTCTAGTCCATGGACCCCATCTAAAAAGTAAGAAATTAACGAAATGTGTTAGCCGAAAATTAAAATTTCACACAAAACCTCACAATAATCACAACACTTGAAATGCTGCTTTCAACACTAAACTTGTACTGCACCAACAATTGGCAACATGCATGCATAGGAAAGAGGATCACGAGGGGAAAAGGTCTTCTGCATGTAGCTTTTCATTCTGTGTGTGATTATTGTGAGGTTTTGTGTGAAATTTTAATTTTCGGCTAA